ATTCCCCTGAAGTCTTTCTTGATAGACCTTATAGTATTTAGCATTACTTATCTCTCCATTATGAAGACCCTGGACCTGGTATGTAGATGATAATGACATGAAAGAGGTGGGTTTAAACTTCATTGCATTGATTTCATATTTTGCCTCCCAGGGTGATGACTAAACCATCTTTTCATCTTTAGTCCCGACAGACACCAGAAGGAGAATTTCTGCCATTGGACCAGTGCGAACTGGATGTTGGATTTGGAACTGGAGCTGACCAGCTATTTTTAGTTTCCCCATTAACCATCTGCCATGAAATTAACTCAAAGAGCCCCTTTTTTTGTCTCTCACAAAGATCACTAAGAAGCGAGCAATTTGAAATAGTTGTCATCCTTGAAGGAATCGTTGAGACTACTGGTAAGATTTAGAATAATATGCATGCTCTAATTTTTAGTCTTTGTTTTCAGTCCTCATATTTTTAGTGAGGCAGCTGTTAGTCCTTTCAGGATGCTAATCCTGGATGCTCCAGAATATCCTGGTGTATGCTACAGAGCTTCGGTGGCCTTTACCAGTCAACAGGAGACTTCCCTTCCGCCCAGGGCTCTGCGTTTCCGATGCCCAAAGTGGCCATTACATCCAAGAGGAGATGCACCTTGCCACTCCTTGAGTATGGCATGTAGAGGAGAGTACAACACCCTTATAAGACTCCTGCTTTAAGAACCACCACTCTGAAGGAATGTTAAACTGTAAAAGTTGCCACTGCTGCACAATCACGTTCAGCCTAGCTTGCATCAAATTGAATCCAAAATAACAAATCCAGTTTTACAGTACAAATACAGTGCACGTGGTCGCAAAGATTGTAGGAACATGTGGTTATCAACAAATATGAGTAGGGCTTTTTGTTTTTTTTAACTTTTTCTTTTTTTTTTTCTTTTTTTAATTCTGATACGGTGTTGTCCAGATGACAGCTGACTTTGTGGACTTGTCTTTTGAGGACTTAATTCTTTTATGAATCCTGTGACAATGCCCTGCAGTTTCATAAGAAGCTCTGCATCAAGGATCCATGTGCACTGTTAAAAGTCCAAATGAATCAGTAGGTTCATTGATGTTCTGATCTTCCTCTCCCTTCTTTTGAGGATTTGTTAAACTCTGATTAATCAGAGAGCATTTTCATCCTTCTTTCAGCAAGATTACTGGTTGCCCAGTTCCTGCCTTAGAAATGGTAATGTCCTTTTGGCACAGTCAAGTGCAGTCGTCTCATGCCGGACAGGAAACAGAACCGACCAATTACTATCCAGGTGCTGGACTGAGCCCTAAACAAATAGACAGTCCACCAGGGCCGAACACTTTCACATCGACCGCAGCAGCCTTTAGATCCCCACAGAAGCCTCTTCTCATCCCACAGCTGAGCCATGATCTTAGATAAGCAGGCATTCATAACTGCATTTAATGCAGTTACCTAATCGGGTATCACAAGGCAAGCATTCTACACTTGACTGAGAATTAACGTAGCAGTAACCGGAGAGCACATAAGCGTTTGGGCTTCCTGACTGCTAATTCTGCCTCTGAAGAGTACCATGACAGGAAGTCATGTAAAGTTCCACTCACCTCGGATGTTTGCATTAATTATCATCAGCACTGTTGTGCTGAGATTGGAATAGCTTGGTTGGCTTGGTCAGAACACATTCTAGCTGTCTGTTCACACATGTAAATACTGCCAATGATGTATGTTTGCACTAAGTGCAACAAATTCTTCTTTACAAGCTTTACAGCAGTACCTGTATTTCAGCATGGAAAACAGCTGCAGTGTTTCTGCAGAGCTTTTGTCTTGGCATACTATTTGGAGAAAAAGTAGCCTAGCCTGTAGAAATAATTTTTCATGTAGTTTTGGCTCCCCCCATGCCTGATCTTTGCCAAAGGATTCTGTAAGCCTCTGCCAAGCAATGGTTCTTTCTGACAAGGCAACTTCCAAGAAACAATATTACATGTAAACTCTAAGATTGTCATTGCTAGCTACCTAATACTGTCTTAATTTTATATTTTCCTTTTTTTCAAAAGCTGTTCGCTCAGTGTGAGTCTGCAATATTTAATCCAATATTTGCATAAAAATCTAGTCAATCAATTAGAGACACTCCAGTGACTGTCAGGAGATTGACTAGGAACAATCACTCCATTTTCTAATTAATAAATTTGTTAGCTTACACAGGCTACAATTGATTTTTATTTGCCAGCCTTACCTTGTATTTCTTCTTCCACGTGCTGGTCTGCTTGCTCACATTACAATGTCATGCTCTTGTCTCTGTTTCTGTAGGAATGACGTGTCAAGCTAGGACCTCGTATACCGAAGACGAAGTTTTTTGGGGTCACAGATTCCTCCCAGTAATGTCCCTAGAAGATGGCTTTTTCTGTGTAGATTATTCTCAGTTTCATGCTACATTTGAAGTCCCCACTCCTCCTTACAGTGTTAAAGAACAAGAAGAAAACCTGTCCCTGTCATCTCCTTTGAATAGTCCTGTCGATAATAACGAAACTAGAAGAGAACATGTTTGCTCACTTGACTGTATTGATAGTGCAGGAGAGAAAAACAAGCTCCCGTTTAAACTTCAGAAGATTAGCTCAATAAAGGAAGACCTTCCAAGAACAGCCTGAGAATGGGTTCCAGTAACACAGAGAAGACTTGCAGTACCGGAGATCTCTTGAAAATTCAAGAAATAAGTCCCATCTCTGACAGCGAAGACAGTGATAAGAGGATACAGCTGAAAGCCTTAAAAATAAATGCCGAGGCTTTGACTCAGTCTACTGGCGATCTTGAGTTACAGAAGAACCCTCCAAGTATGTGCGCTCTACAGGTGAAATTGGAAGATAATTTTCCTGACAAACTTGGAAAAATGAGCTTTCATCACCTCTCTTAAGAGCAGAAGCAACAGCAGTTGTTGCTGATAAACTCCATTTGAGACTGCTGACCTGAAAGAGTTGTCTTATGTTGAAGTTGTAATTTGGTTTTCTGCTTTCTGGAAGAATGATCCTTTTTGTATAATTGATCTGTACAGATCCAGCTTAGGTAGCATAATAGGACTTTGAGGGTCAGTAAAGTTAGGCTGTCATGCCAAAGAGATTGCTGCCCTAATGATGTTTATTGGCATGCTCATTGCAAATCTACATTGTCTTTCATATATGCAGATGCTTTTTCATGAAGCAAGGACCAGATCCTTAGTTGCAGGGTGAAATGTTCAGAAATTAAGCCAAAAAGGGTGTAAAACCAGCTGAAACACAATTTTGTGCAGCTCAGATCTTGGACTGCTCCCGATGCATAGAACAGCAGAACAGGGGAAGAATATGTGATGCTGCTCAGTCGTAGTCCAGTTCTCTCTCAGTGACCCCGTTGGAAGGCGGCCTTCCCATGCAGCCTAGGGGCGTGCATCCTTCTTTTTCAAGGATTGTGGCATGCCAGCTCTGTGCCTGCAGAATCTTGTTCATTGTCATTCAGGTAAAGGAAGCAGTTTGCGGCAGTGATTTGTGTCGTTTGACTCCCACGAGCTCTCATAAACAGGAGGATCATTTATCCTGTCCAAAATTAGACCCCAGCGTTTGATCAGGTGGATCCCATGCTGATTTTTAACAACTGTACCACCACTCAATGAAGGGAACTTGAGTTCAGTAGCTCAACCTCATGCAAAGCGTTAGATAATGCTCAGTCATTACAGGAATAGACAATGGTATGTACACATCTTGGAGTTTTACTAATGGATGGTAGGGTCTTTGATGTTGCTTTTTTTTTTTTTTTAATTACATTTGCCTTCTCCATTTATGTATGATTCTCAATAATTTTGTAGATTTGACATTTATAATATAATGCAGTTTATTGCAGGGTAGAACTCTGTTTTAAAGATACTGAATGAAAAGGCAACACAGGTCTGTAACTTGTTGAGTGTGCAGCTGAGAGAGGGCCTTTATTTTTTTGAGCAGAACGGAGCGTTCTCTCAAAGTGCTTCTGCTAGTGATGGTAATTTACTTTCAATTGTTGAATAAATATTTTAGAAGATCATACCTGGAATATGGCAACCTTATCTGTAGAAATCACCAAAAAGTGAAGATTTACACGGAAGTGGTATTTTGGTATTCAGTACCTCTTTTAAAGTGTCATACAGCTTTTTCTAAGTGACTGGCCTTGAACGAGAGGCAAAAATGCTCTTCTGGTTCTAAACCAAATCTTGCATAACTCAGACTATGGTTTGCCTTACTGATCATCAGGAAATGGCAAGAACTAGACTTTGACTTTCCTAGATTTCCTGGGGTTCTACACTTCGGAATACTCGCATTACTATTCAGCTATTCTGCTGTCTGTCTCAATCTGTGAAAGAGTTATTTTCTTTTTCCAGTTGGTAGTGAGCAACCATAACCAGAACTTGCTGTTTTGTAAAATGCAATGTTCAGTAGCTCTGCATGTAGGGTGCTTCTCACTAGCAGAACACTCCCCAACAGAAGGATCGAATTCAGCTCTTGTTATGTGGACAGAATTCAGTCAAATTTAAAAGAGGTTGCTGTGGCCATATCAATTGGCAATGCATGCCTCAGTGACAAGAATGGAGAGATCAAGTGATATATCCAAGCCAGGGATGGCTTGGCTTGCATAAATCGCCATTTCTTGCTTTTGATCTCCTGCCTGTTGTGTGAAACTGGAAAATGGTATTTTGCATGGGGGTAAGATTTGCTTCTTGTTGTTCTTGTTTGTTTTCCACATGAATTTCAACATTATGTATGTGCTGAAATCTGTATTTTAATTTAATAAATGTATTAGTATGGGATATTTAGATGACAGCATGAAGCCTTGATGGATGATGACCCTCCCCACTCTTCATAACAGCCAAAATTAGTATAAAATAAAATTGCATACACCTTGTGTCTCAAGCATTGTTGACGCTGTTTCCAGTGGGCACCCTGTGGGTGCAGCAGTGGGGGCTGTCTGATGCGGAGAGTCCGAGGCCAACAGGGACCGGGGACGTTTGTGGCACTGGGAAGCTCATCCCACCGTGGGAACGGAGGGGGAACACTGTGGAGCAGAGCCTGAGGAAGAGATGTGGCACTGTACTCTGGCACGCTGCCCCTCACCCCCCAGCCTGTGGGATGGGGGTTGGGGGAGGCTGCCTCCTCTTTTATTTTTCTAGTGGAGCCCCCCCCTTTCTGGGTGGGTGGGGGGGTGGTGTGTACAGATGTGAATGGCATTATTAAGGTAATGAGCTGCTGGTTGGGGACACTTTCCTCACTTTGTGGTTTTTTTTGGGGTGAATAAAAAGGGGGG